CACCTAGACGCACCTATTTCCGATAGGCAGGCCGGCGCTGCGAACCCACGACAGATCTCCCTATTGTCGCCATCTCTCTCACGGTCCTCTTCCCCTCCGGCGACTCCAGCGCGCGGCACGGCCGGCAAGGCGGCAAGCAAGGTAATACTCCGCACCCATCCTTCTCGTCCTCCTCTTCTCGCCCCTATAATCCTTCCAAGAATTCCTCTTATGTCGACATGGATCCACGGAAACCACGTCCCGGCGCCCCAGATCCATCCACGATCCGCCCCTTTTCTTGTACCAATCGAACCACCTGACCCCCGTCCTCTCCTTTCTTGGTGCGTAGATGGATTGGCAGGGGCAGAAGAGCGCGGAGATGCTGATGCAGGTGCTGCTGGTGGCGTCGGCGGTGGCGGCGTTCCTGGTCGGGTACGCGATGGCCGACTTCCAGCTGATGCTGCTCGTCTACGCCGGCGGGGTTGTCCTCACGGCGCTCGTCACCGTCCCCAACTGGCCGTTCTTCAACCGGCACCCGCTCAAGTGGCTCGACGCCGCCGAGGCTGATCGCCACCCCCGCCCGCAGATCAGCAGCGCACCAGCGACGACCGGGGGTAAGAAGAAGACCGGGAAGAACAAGTAGTCATGTTACTTATTGGTCCATGTGTCGCAGACATGTTTTATGATATATCAGTTGCAGAACTTCTGAGTATGACATGCTAGATGTTGTGTTACCTGAATGTTTTATATGACAAAAAATTAGCTTCCTTCTTGGTGTCTGGATGTCTGCTTTCATGGTGCTGAAAAGCCTGGTCACCTATATATGCTCAATACGGGCAGTGCCTATCAAAAGAAAGGAAATTATAGCATGTGCTCAGTTCTATCATGTGATTTTGAAACTAAATGCTTTGTTGCCACTCTGGAGTATGGAAAGGACTGGTGAGTTCTTAACAATTGCCAGGATATGAGTTGTGACTGTTGGTCATTGCAAAATTAAGATACCTTGAGAACTGCCTTGATTTGCCCGGGTGGTTTCAGGTTAAGCTGTGCCTACAAATTTTCTACAGTATCATTTTTTGCTCTCAGTTTTGCTGTTAAGTGCAATCTATGCTTAGCTACTGTTTTGCTGGTCGTTAGATGCGTGATGATAGACTGCGTTGTAGCATTTTATTGGTATCTCTGGTGTTTGTTTGTTTCAGTCATCATGATGTTCAAGAATACCATGCATGATGGAGCTTTTGTGCGTTCTGAGTTCATCATTAACCTGTTGTTAATGGTCAACGTTGCAACTGGAAAATATTGGTCGTCCCTAGTTAGTTTCTTTGTCTAATACAACCTCGGTCCGAATTACTTGTCTTAGATTTGTTCAGACAAGGATGTATCTAGACAAGTGTAAATGTAAGATAAGTAATTTGGGACGGAGGGAGTATTTGATTGAGGTGGCATCTAACATGGTTGTCTGAAGGGGACAACTTGAACACCTTCAAGAGTCAAATTGAGTTTTTTTTTTCAGACTTTATCTCTGACCTTTGAGACTTCATGGTACCAAACATGTATTCAGAAATGCTTTTGTTGGGGTAAAATAAACTTCCGCTTATGCTCCCCTAGTTATACGGCCATATCTTAGTCATGTTGTAATAATTTTTTAACTAAGGGAGAACCTTCAACCACTATGTCTCAACATTTGGGCTGTCTTATTGCCAATACTTCTGTCCCACCATTGTTTGTCATATCAAAATCTTAACATCAGCCACACTTGAGCCACCACAGAAACTGGATGATTTTTGTATTTCGATGTACTCCCTCCGTCTGAAAAAACTTGTCCCTCAAATGGGTGTATCTAGCACCAAGTTAGTGCTAGATACATCCATTTGAGGAACAAGTTTGGGACAAGTTTTTTCGGACGGAGGGAGTACTTTTTTTTTTGAAACGAAAGGGGTTGCCCCCCTGCCCAAACTTTTTATTAAAAAAGCAAAGGCAACCATAGCAGACTGTTTTTTTTTGCGGGAAACTTCGAGCTTTATTCAACTATTCTTTGTTCCCGCACGATCAGCCAAAACGCTGGTCATGAGGAAGCCAGGGGGGAGTCCATCCAGCACTCGGTGATCCCCAAGGTGCAAGCATGTTTAGCACACAAGTGGGCCGACATATTAGAGTTTCTCGATACATGTTGAACATCAAAAGATAGAAAAGATAAGGCTAGCTCTTCTATTTCTAATAATAGCGGCGCTGCGATGGAGCGCGAAAACCGTCGCGAGTGCCATAGCTGAACCAATTCTAAGCAATCTGTTTCCATGAGCACTTGCGAAAAGCCTTGAAGTTGTGCGAATATCACCCCATCTCGCAAAGCAGACGCCTCGGGGTAGGGCTTACTCCAGGCTGCCAAGAAGGTCGAGGAAGTCCATGCCACTCCTCCAGCTCCACTTCTATGTTCAAGCACTGAAACACTAGCATCTGTGTTTACCTTTGTCCAGCCTTGATACGGTGGCCTCCAGCCATAGCTAGGTAGAACCTTCGTCTATTCCAAGGGAAGCTCCATCAAGGCAAGAGTTTCTCTTATACGTTGAGAGATTGCATCGGGTTCATACTTGCTCTGTCATGCGTTATATTATTGCGAGAGGTCCAAATAACCCACATGATAGTAACAATTTTTGCCAGATCACTCTCTGAGAACCAAGAGTCGCAAAGAATATCCCTACACCAAGTCATAGGGTGTAACTCCGGTAGCTTGACTTGCAACCATTTTCGAGCTTCTGTCCAGAAAGTTTGAGCATGTGAACACTTGATCAAAGCATGCATCAAATCTTCATCAGCTCTCATGCACACCTTGCATCGTGCTATGATTGCAATATGCATGTACTGTAGTGTGCTCTCCACTGGAAGAATGCCACGGAGGACCCTCCACCAAAACACACGTACCTTAGGTAGCACTTTGAGCTTCCAAAGACGAGTCCATAACTGCTTATTATTCTCTGAAGATTCTGTAGTCGCCCCTTCCTCTAGAGTTGAATGCTCGTTATGAGTCATTAGAGCGCGATACGCTGACTTCACAGTATAGGAACCCGACCTCTCATGATCCCAAGCCCAATAATCATCACCACCTCCTTGTCTGAGTGGAATATTTAAAATAGCATCAGCATCCGGTGGGATAAAATTTTCTCAAACAACGCCAGCTTTCCAAGACCAAGTCACATCATCGATCAAGTCTGAAACAAGATTAATAGGTGATGTACCTATCTGTGCAGTGGGCCGCAACGAAAGCTTGCCTGGTAGCCATCCATCCTGCCACACGCGCGTGGACGAGCCATCGCCAATCCGTTTTAGCAGGCCAGTCTCCAGTGCCGCCTTCCCGGCAACGATTGCTCGCCAGGTAGCCGAAGCGTTACAAGGAACAATAGCATGCATAAAATCCGTGTTCGGGAAATAGCGGCCTTTTAACACCTACAAAAAGAGGGGTACACTTTTTGTACCCCTATAACTGTGCACGGGCAGTCTGAGCCACGGGCACCACCACACTGAGCAAGGCAATGGAGGTGAGCCAAGGTAAGGCCGAAGCTCAGGAGAAGCAGAACGACGCCAAGACCAAGACCACAGAGAGCAAAGGGGACGAAGCGGACCCCCCGGCAAGATCCTTGTCGGGAGGCGGTTTTAGCAAACCCGGCAAGACCCTTGCCATGGCAGCTCGCCCCACGCCTGCGGAGTGAGTCACCCTTGAGTCCACTGCCCCCATGGGGCAAGGATTCGGGAGACATCCCCGTGGTGGCATGCAGATCTTTATGAAGGCATTCAAGATCAGATACACCCTTTAGAAGATGATGATCCTTGGCGGGATCCCAGCCAAGGAAGACCACAAGGCCCCCGGCAAGAGCCTTGTCGGGGATGACAGCAGGCGCCACAGCAAGACCCTTGCCGGGGCCCCGGCAAGGCCCTTGCCGAGAAAACCCGTAGGGCCACCATCAGGCCCACGCCAGTCAAACCTCCACCACCGTTCACATGCAGCTGCCGACCCAACCAGCTGAGCTGGCACCTGCGTGGCAGCATGCAGATCTTCGTGGAGACCTACCACTGCGCCACCTCAGGTGCCTGCCTGCCTACATGGCACCGCGGGCGCCGCTGGCCAGGGCGCGTGTCAACACGAGAGGGAGCGGCGACAGACGAGACAGGGCTCTCCCCCATCCCCGATAAAGCAAGGACACCTGGGCAAGACGCATTAAATGCGCCTTGTCATGTAATGCGAGGGATAACCTCACATCACTGTTCCCTTTCCACCTCCTGGTGCTACTGTGGCAACCCCTTTCCTATAAAAGGAGGCCCGAGGTGACCAAGAAGAGGATTCGGCTTTTTGGAGCTCCTCACGCCCCATAGCTAGCTCAAGAACATAGATATGCAATCCACCAAAGCAGGAGTAGGGTTTTACGCATCCTCGCGGCCCGAACCTGGATAAACGGACCGTGTGCTACCTGTTAGATCCGCTCTTCTCACGACCCCGCGCCCCGCAACCGTAGCAGGGATTCTTGTGATCCCATAGGTGTCGTTCATCACCGACATCTTTGGCGCGCTAGGTAGGAGAGCGCAGTTGTGAGAATCGGCTTTAGCAGTTAGTTCGACACTTCTTCATCATCATGGCGCCCAAGAAGAAGACGATGGTGGCGGTTGGCCCGTCGGAAGCCGGACATCCCGTCCCGACGCGGGCGAGCAGCGGACCGGTCGCAGAAAGGACCCGGGGCGCCGTTCGCGAACACCAACACCGTCCCAGCAGCCGGAGTTTGGGAGACGGCAATGTTCGTGCGCCTGGTAACGGGCCGCACGCCGCCAAATCCAAAGACGGAGCCAGGCCCTCCGCGGGTGGCGCGGGGCCTTCCAAGATCGCTACCGCCCTGCCCGAAGGCGATGCGAGGGCCTCCAAGACTCCCACGCCGGCATCGACGGCGCGCTCCTCTCAAACGGCGCGTGACGAACGATGCAATCACGCAGAAGACCCCGGGCGACGCTGCGGGGAGAGCCCTGAGCGCCACTCCCGGGAGGTAGAAGACCTGCCCGCTCGCCGAGGCGCTGGTGAAGATGGCATGCGACCGTGGGGTTGTGATAGAGCTCCTTCTGACATGGTCAGAAGTCGAAGCGCGTCGCGATCCGTGCAGGTTTCGCTGCCACCAACGCCAGCAGAAGCCCTGGCGCGCGCACGGTTGCTCCTCGATTTTCCTCCCACTACGGGGAAACTCGACAAATGGAGAGCCACTATCCGAAGCCTTGTTGCGGTGGCTAACAAAGACGAACCGAGTCTGGTGGAGCCCCCGAGTCGACGCTCCGACGGAGTCCCACGCACCAGTGGCAGGAAAGCCGACAGCGCCGCGACCATGGTGCACTCGCCTCCTCCTCGCCCGGTACCGCGGACACCAGCCCGTCGCGACGTTGCGGGCGACGAAATCTCCGTAGCGTCATCCGACCCGCGGACCCACTATGACCAGCGCCAATTCTTTCGGGAACGAGAACATGAAGACGCTCGAACCACTATCGAGCGCCGGCGTGGAGCGCGCCACCAGTCAGACAGGCGAGCAGGGCCTGCTGTGAACCACCCGGCACCGGAGAGCCCTGGAGGCCTACCTTACGAGGTAGGCTGCCCGGCTTTTACCCGTGAGCTGCGGCAGTTCCAGTGGCCCACTCACCGCACTTTCAAACCTGACGTGGGCGAAAAGTACAGCGGCAAGACCCACCCGTTCGAGTTCCTCAGCATCTACACCATTGCGATGCAAGCTGCCGGAGCTCGTGACGATAAGGTGCTTGCGAATTACTTTCCGTTGGCTCTTAAACCCAACGCCATGTCGTGGTTGATGCACTTGCCGGTAGACTCTATTTCCTCCTGGTCGGATTTGTGCCATGAGTTTGTGGGCGCCTTTACTGGAGGCCACCAAGCCCATGGCCAAGCGAGCGACTTGCACATCATTCCCCAGAAGGGAGGCGAGAGTCTCCGCAAGTATATACAGAGGTTCAGCTGGATACATTACAATATCCCTGATGTTCACCCTGCCGCCATCATCAGCGCGTTCCATCAGAACGTGCGTAACCGCAAGATGCGCGAAGTGTTGGCAATGAACAAGGTGAAAGATGTAGCAGAACTCTATGTTCTTGCTGACAGATGTGCCCGGGCTGAAGAGGGAAGGAAGTACCCCGGCGAAGACGCCGGCGTGGAAACCGACTCCTCAGATGAAGATACCACCGCCTCGGCGAAGAAGGGCCGGCGCCACAACAGGAAGCGCAAAGGTAAAGCCGTGCTTGCCGTTGAGGGATCTGGAGACACCAGCTCCACCAAGAAAACCAAGGCAGATGACCCCG